GCCATCTGTCAGGGATACTTTGATTGTGCTTTTCCTGCATGGCAGGGGGTTGGACTAGATGGCTCATGCAGTCTCTTCCAACTCTATTATCTATGATTCTGTGAATCCCCCTGCTGCTGTCTGGTTTGAGGACCTCTGTGTGATGTGGTCCTCACTCCTTCACAGGTGGTTTTTCATTCCTTGAGGAGGATGGTATTCTTCTCTATCCATTGCAATAATTCCCTACACACTCCCTACTCACAGCTTTAGTTGCCCCACGGCCGCTCCATGGCTGATGGAGAAGGTGAGAGATCAGTAAACTAAAATCATCTGTTGCAGACACTGGTGATGGAGCTCAGTTATGACATAATCATTCTGGCTGTATTTTGATCCTTGTGTGCAGGAATAAGATAAACAAGGCTTGACAGCTCTAACCTGAAGGAGGTTGCTTGCCTGGGGCCAAGTCCAAGAGGAGGAGAAGGCAATACAGGGTTTGCATTTCTTTACATCAGGGGGGCTGAGGTAAATCAAAATAAAGTCCTGTACCTAGCCCTAAGCTACTGAGCTTGGCCACTATGTCAAACTGAAGGAATTTGGAAGTACTGATATACACATAACTGGAATCTCTTGCAATAATCATATTTTAACTTGATTATACTATGGTTGTAACATAGCCAGAGATGAATCCACTTTTGGGAAGTGTAATTATTATTTCAGAAGTAACTTTTTTCTGATGGTGGCTGTATGTTGTCTATTGGAATAAGCTGGCTCATTCTGTGCCTTGTATTGCTGTTTTGTTCTCTTTTGTGGGTGTTAAAGCAAGGTTAAAGTGAAGAAAGTAAGGCAGGACAGTGATGACATTCAGGCCCCATCTACATTGACCATTTAATGCAGTTTCAAACTCTTATTGAAGGAAGTGGTCTCGCTGTGGAAAACCTGGAATCAGTATAAGGCCCAGATGGTATTTACACAAACCACAGAGCACTGATTGCATTAAGGATTTTCTTTCATTCATTTTTGTGGGAATTTGTTGTTTGGGCACACAGTTTGAAGCTAACTTCAAATGGCACTAAATGGGGCCTCAGATGTTTTATCTATCAACTGACTCCTTTAGTTACTTTTGACGTATGGGAAAAGAAAGCTATTTTAATTTTTAAAGGGTTGTTTTTACAAACTTTAGGAAGCTCATAAACCCTGGGGCCAACCAATGTGAGAATGTGGCTCCAGAAAGGGCATTTTGAGAAAACATTCCTCAAATCTGAAAGTGGTCTCTCAAATGGCTGATTTCTGGTAATTGCTTTATATCCAGGATGTATTTTTGACCAGCATCATAACTTTTCCCTAAAAAAAATCTAGTTCTCTAGCCAGTATCACAAACTGATGAGTGAGGGGGAAATTTTGGGTCTGAGCCAGTGGACAAGGTTGCCTCCTATTCCCTATCCCATGTATAGAAGCTGGTTAGAATTATTTTGGCACTGGTAACAGGATAGCAGGTTTTAGGGTGCATGACCTGCTCAATTTGAACCACATTGCACCCATTAGCATTTGCCACTAGAGGTGGGTACCTTGCTCAGATTATAAGTAGAGCCACATTCCTAGAGAGGGGTTCTCTGAAGCGAAAAAAAATAACAATTTCTTTATTTATGGGTTTTTACTTTCATGGGAGCCCTGTGCTACTAATCTCAGCAAATGTGGAGAGCATACTATAGTTCCCAGGCATGGTAATTTTTGAAACTGGAGCCTGAGGTGAGTGCATGTTCCTCATGAAGAACGTGGCAAATACTAAAGATGTGCATTTGTTGACGATATAATTGGAAGTCGTATCTGATTTGTTAAATTTGTGCATATGAAGCTATTTCGGAGGGATGCATTTTTCGTAAATGTTCTGTAATATTTGGATGTCTCAAGGTTAGTTTAATTTTCACTATAACCATTAAGCAACTTTGGTAAAGCCAAGATAACATAAAGTGCTTTTTAAATCTCATTCCTCCCCCACCCCATCTTTGTTGGTGGAGCCATAAGGAAGAGAGCTGTGGGCGTGACTAATCACAGCCATCTTAACTGTCATTTGGAAAGGCCAGGCCACCAATAGTAGAGAATTGCAAAAGGCCCTGCTGTAAATAACATTTCCCAGAAGGCAAAGGTGCTTAGGACTCAAATGAGGTTGAAGGACCCAAGTGAGGGCTGGCTTCACCAGTTGCAGTTTAGAGTTAGCCTAAATAAAATAAATATCTGCAAAAAGAGGAGTAATGTAAGTAAGTAATAGTATCTGTGCTAAGTTGAAGTTATGTGGTTGTGTGTCATAAAGACAGAAGGACGTTCAAAGGGATCGCTGTTTTTGCTTTATGGGGGGATAAATTGTTTTTGTCTAAGCTTTAAAAAAATCCCCAAAAATCTCTAGGTGTGTGGATCTTTCTGAAACTACCGGAGATTAATGCTCTCATTATTTTGTGCATTGTATATAAAATTAAAGTAGCTAGCTCTTGTAGGTTTTTTTAAAATGTTGTTTATGAAAACTTTGAAATTTCATAAAAAATTATGGATAAGTCAAATGTTCTGAAATTTGGTGAGCTAACTATTGTAAATGTATCCTACCACTGTAGCAAGTTTCATTCTCTCTCATTCAAAAAATGAGAGAGGAAGAAGCCCCTCAAGTTTCCCCACTGACAGTCCCTATCGCACAGTCGCGGCTGCCATTAACAAAGTATTTACTAAGATTTGTAAGTTTCATTAGAGTTCTGAAAATTCAGAAAGAACTTTAGAAATGAAGTGCTAGCACCCCCTACTTTTAAACATAGTTTAAAACCATTTTAATGGATCACACATGCCTAGCAAATATACTTTTTGGACTACAAATGCCATGCTTGCTGTAGGATTCTTGCTGTAGTCTTTATAAAGTATCTTTATAAATGTCTGATCTTCATAAGGGAAGTTCTGCTGATTCTGGAGTAGAATGCATTTAACTTTCAGTTTGGGTAATATCTAACCCTTGGCACCTCACCCTCAAAATTACTATACACCAGATTTTATCAGGACTGTTGAATGAGCACTTTTTAAAAGGGTGATCATTTCCAGAGAATTCCAGCCTCTTTCCATTTTCTAAAGTGTTTTGGCTTTATTCAGCTTGAGGTAAGCTGATCTTGCATAGGCACCAGAGATGACCCCAGTTAGCCATTGAGCAACTAAGATAAAAGCTGAAATTGCACCTCATTTTTTGGAACTGGAGAGCCAAAGCAGTGCACAGAAGCCTATTAACCTCTGCAGAAGAATATCTTGAGGCTGCATTGCATTTCTTTTTTCAAAAAACACTCAAGTTGCCTGATCTCCTTTTAATCCACAAAAGCACAACATTCAATAGATTCAGAAGTGAATTGTGATTGCATGTATTCTAGGGTTCCCTGTTTCAAAAGCTGTTCAGCCTAAAAATTCTGACCAGCTCCTAAAAAGCACGAAAAAGTAGAGTAGAATCACCTACTTTAATTTCCATATTTACTACATATAGACAGTGAATATTTTCAGATACATTCTTTCATGTAGGAGTTTTAAAACAAATTAAAATCAAAGAGAGATTTCAAGTTAGAGAGACATCTTAACATGTCTTTTGAACAGCAAACACAAAGGGCATCTCTTGAGGATATCACATCCCAAGCAGGTTCATATGGGGAGATACAGAAGGTGGTAACTGTAGCCAGACCCTTAGCCATTTGGTATTTTCTTTAATTATGGTTTTGGATTTGTGGCTGATCTTCCATTTAATAAAACTGAGATGTGGTTTTCTCCCTCCACTTCCTGCATTTTTCTTCCTCGTTATACAGACCATTAAACCCTCAAAGTAATTTGACAGTTGGAAAGACACAGGGGTTTTGGATGACCTGGGCCTTTCCAGCTGTGGGCACTGTGTGGATTGAGCCCGGGGATTGCATCGTGTGACTTGTGGTCCCAATCCACACAGCTGTCTCAGAATGTTTGGGCTCCTGGAGCCCGAAAAGCCCAAGACAGCCCCCACCCCCTCCAAAACCCCCTTTTAAAAGCCTTAGAAAGAAAAAAATAACTTACCCAGCTGGCATTTCCCTGCTTCTGGCCTTCTCCTGTCATGTAGAAATGATGTGCCAAGAGAAGGAGGGAGGAGGAAAATTGTTCCTGCCCCCCCCCCTTCTCCTGGTGCGTCATTTCTAAGCACCAGGAGAGGGTTGGCACAGGGAAATTCAGACCAAGTAAGTTATTTTTCTTTCTTTTTAAGGCTAATCTGGGGGGATTTTCTTTTGTGTTCAGCTACATTGCTGGAAGATCTGACAGGGCATCTGGACACCCCACTCCCACCAGAAAAGCACCAGCTTTCTGGGGCATGTGTGGACGGTAATGTGGGCCCAATCAAGTTTTTAAAACTCAATTGGGCACGCATTAAAGTCCTGTCTGGAACCACCCTATGTGAGTCTGACCATTGTTCTATATTTTGCTATTGGCTGATATTTCAACCGGTTTTTTGGTGGAAAAATATAAAAATAAATAAATTGATTTTTTAAAAATACAGAAATGTTCAGAAAAATAATCAAAGCCAACACAATTAATCGCATTCTGAAACTCTTAAAGAGCCATCCTCTAAACATAATCCATACTAGCAAGGAAAATGTCATCTTTATTCCAGTTAAATTGCAAGACAGAAGCTTTTAAGCATTATTTTTTAATGTTTAAATCAATGTAGCAGAGAACTCTTTATTTAAATCTTAATCCGATCAAGATCAAAGGCTTTTTTTATTTGCGTATATAATAGCAAGAAGGCAGGTGGTCCCACAGTATTGACACTCTAATTCATAATTTTTAATTGGAAGTACATTTGAAGGCTGTCATTTCAATACATGTAGCTAAGCATTAATTTTCAGGTTTCAGTAGTGGCAATTTTCAGCTAACTTTGGTTTTTATGACCATACCCTTACACTGATTTATGCAGACAGCAACATAGATGCTAGAAATAATCTAAATTAGCTCCAGACTTATTTCAATGAAACAGTTTAATTGCATCACATCAAAAGAGGTTTCAAAATAATGTATAATCTTCAAAGCACAGGTTACATTCATGGCAAAACAATCAGCAATAGTAAATTCATCATAATAAGACTGAGAGGAACAATTTTTGTAATGGTGCATTTCAGTCTTTGTGAAGCTTACCAATTTCCTTGATATGACAGAGAGGAATGCCTTTTCAAAAATTCTGACATGTCAAGAACTACCTGCAAAACATGTAATGACATGCATGGAATTATGTATTTGATGTTATTAGTACATGTATCTTTTGTTATTATTATTTAGATCCTTGCCTCCAAAGCAGGTTCTTAAAGTGTGCTCTGCGGAGTTCTTGGGGCTCCACAAAGTATACTGAGAGGCTCTGCACTTCCTACCTCCTCCCCTTCCCCCTCCAAGTTTTCCCTCTTTTTTCCTGCTCCTCCCCCTCCCCACCTCCCTTGCTACCAAAACCCTTTCTCCTGTCTCCTTGGCCCCAAAAAACTTTTCCCCTTGCCTCCCTTGCCATCAGAAGCCTCTACCTCCCTCATTGCCAAAAGCCTTTTTTTCTCTCCTTCCTTGCTGCCCAGATCCGAGATACTGTTTTCTGCATAGAGCAACGACATGCAAATTTTATGTAGAGGATCAAAACTGGAAGGATTTCCATTAATCCAGGATTTTTCTTATCAGGGTTTTTCAGCGCTTGAGAAATGTTCAACCATTTTGGGGAAACGTTTAATTTTTTTTTACCATTGTTACAAACTATATTGTGCATTGCAAAGATAGAAGAGGAAATATTTATTTTTCTAGAACATTATTATATTATAGAAATAATCAACATGGTATGGTGGTTTGAATATTGGACTATGACCCTGACATTTGAATCTCCACTCTGGTACGGAAAGTCACTGGGTTACCTTGGGCAAGCCACATTCCCTCAATTTTAGGTGGAAAAAAAGGTAAAACCCTTAAAACCAAATCTTGCAACAACAACAACAAAAAGAAACAATTATAGATTCACCTTAGGGTTGCTGTAAATCAGAAATGACTTGAAGGCAAACAATAACAAGAAGAATAAAATAGAATAAAATAAGAACATTCTCTAGAATACACACAGAGATATTCAACTCCTTAGTGTTCTGTAGTATATTAACATTTGGTTAAATGTAGCTTCTGTCAAAAATATAATATTAGAACAACCCATTTACATCATTTTTGACCGAAAGGCAATTATTTATTTTTCTGAGTTGCCATTCTAATGAACAGGATGATATATGGTTAATGTTTCTGTTCCATTGATATGATGTTATGACATCTACTCTTTCACTAAATCTCATAAGCTTGTAACTGTTAATGTTTAATAAAATATACCTAAAACACCCACCAATATTATTTTACAGATATCAGCCCATATCAAATAAACACAATTTCCCTCACTTCTAGGCTCTCTCACAGTTCCAGCAGTTTGCCAACAGTCATTAAACTTTGAATTCCAACAACTGGAATCTATCTAAAGATTCTTGCTTGCTAAGCATGTGTACTGACCAAGTGGTAGGTTTTAAAAAAAATTAATACCCCCATACCCCAGCATTAGTCTGGATTTTAAAAATGAAGTAAAATGTTTATTTTATCTCAGAAAAATGAAATGGAAAACATGACTAAAAGTTACTAGAAAAGACACTTGACCATCCCTTTCATTTAATTTATTGCTGTATTATATTTAGTGGGAAATAAATTGCCTTTGTTCTAGGGACAAATGAGATCCCTGAGCAAGAAGATTCTGTGTCTAATTCACATAGAAAGGAAACTGAAGGAGTTTCTCCTTTGGAAAAAAATAGTTGGCAGATACAATTCCCAAGTTAAAAGGGGCATTTTCAGCAGCATTCAGCATAAAGCAATGTCAGGTCACATTATACTTTACATCTTTACTACAGAATCTTTGGAAGGTAGTCCATAGCATTTCATTATTTTTTTAGCCTTATCCCAGTTGAAATCTTGTAAATGCTGCTGACAACAGGGGAAAATGTTGCCGTTGTAATTAAAGCACTGGGCCGCCACTTAGAAAGGTTGATTTATTTCTTAGTTCTGCCACAACTGTTGTATCGATAAATCTCTGCTTCAGTTCCCTACCTGAAATATGAAGATAAATTCATTAAGTATTCCCTGAAAGGGACAGTGCTGTGTGCACATAGGGCAGGTAGAAACATTTCTAAAGAGCCCAGACTCTAAAACTGAGTAATGGCTTCTATGCCAAGGGTCTTTATGGAAACACTAAGCACTTCTTGTTTATATCCAGTACAAAACAGAAGAAGTAACATGAATGTTATTCTCCAGGCTGTGGCCTTTAAATTGTTTCTGGCCAGAGCAGTTTGCCAATCATCTTCTCCCAAGCTGCCTTGGATAACCATTCTTCAAGCATAGAAACAATCCTCTCTTTTCCATTTTATCATCCTATGTATCCGCAACAAGAATGAAGTAAAAGGATAACCACAGGATGTTGTAGTTCAGCGTGATGGTAACATTACTACTACTGGTAGAAGGGAGAAGAAGTCTGCACAGGAGTTAGAGGAGGAACAACAGCGAAAGCGCATTAGGGAGATAATCATGGCCCCAAGTGATTCTGAGATGTTTGAGGGCTTCTCCGATTGTGAAATGGGGGATGGGGAGGAGAGCAGAGGAGTAAAGAGGGCTACTCGCGATCCAGAGTCCGACGAGGAACTTCAGAGGAAGCGCATCCGGGAAATACTTAGCGCTCCTACAGAGGACGAGGATTTCATGGGGTTTGAAAGAAGTGATGGGTCTGGGAGTGATATGGGAGAAGAGGATGAGCTGGATTGGACCCGTGTTCAACAGATTAGGGACATTTGTAACCAACCCACCTCCAGTGATGAATTTGAGGGGTTCACAGGGGATTGGCAACCGGGGAGCACTTGGCAAGATCTAAGTCTTGGCAGACGCTGGTAGAGGTGGAGGGATGGGCGCTCGGGTTCAGCTGCGGGGATGGAGGCAGCTGAGAGCGATGAGGAAAGGGTGGGGAGCTCATCATCCTCTAATGAAGAGCTGTAGGATAAAAGTGGGTTCTGAATGTATGGCTCTTTGCAGAAGGCAAAGTGTCTTTACGGGACATAAATCTTTGTTACTGCCAACTCTCGAGCTTGGGTCCTTGGGCTACAGATTCCTGTGTTCCTGTGATTCCTGCGTTCCAGTGTTTACATTACTCAACAGCTTGACTACGGACCAGTTTGACCAACGCTTTTGGCTTTTGGACTTAAAACATTGCTAACTTCGTGTTTGGACATTGCATCATTTTGGAACTCCGTTTTCTATCTTCTGTGACTGTGTTTTTGAACTGTGTGAACTTTGAAGCAGATTGCTGAACTTTGTGTTTAACCCGGATTAAACAACGTTATAATCCGGGTTATAATTTTGTTGCTGGTATCGCTTCATTTTTGATGCCAAATTACTGCTCTGACTCTCTGCACTGAAGTTAAGTGCTTTGAAAGACTATTTTTGTATAATAAAGCTGTGTTTGAACCCTTTATCTTGTGTTTGGCTCTACTTAAGGCTTCTGGGTCTTGACACAGGTTATATTTCTATAGAAATTCTGGTGACATGTTGTTCTCCAAATATGTAGTTAAAACCAGTTCATTTAATCCAGAGCCCATGGGCAATATGTGGCCCAGGAAGGCTATGAAAATGGATCTACATTAATTGAGAATTGCAGCTACTTTCACCAAATTATATATTGATGCATGAGTGTCTCAAAAACAATGTCAAATGTCCCACTAGTTTTATGTTGTCCTCTTTTCTTTTAGTTTTAAAATAAAAGTGCGCATTTATTACTTAAATGTGCACATTTTCTATATCAGAGGGCACAAACCTTTGATCTGCTTGGTGACTTTTGCTTATCTGTGGTAGCAGATATTACAAAAATTATGGACAGATACTCCCCCTTTTAAAAATTTTCTTTTGCTCATCAGCTATCATTAGTGTTACTGCATTTTATGTGTGGCCCAAGCCAATTCTTCTTATTTCAATGTAACCCAAAGAAGCAAAAAGATTGGACACCCCTAGTTTAAACAATATAAGCTCTGAACAAATGGCAGCAAGATTTATTTTCACATATGGTCCAAAGCTAGGGTACCCATGTGTCCAATTAGACAGAAAACTGTCTTCTTATTTGAATGGCTTTTAGAATTTGTTGTATGTATGAAAATCTTATCTAAGGTCCTTTCCAGACAGGCCCCAAAACCCATGATGGGTCAGAGGTTTACCTGAGGCATCCAAATGACGCCTCACGTAAACCTGAATTAATCCAGAGTAAACTGGGATTTTCCATTTTACTCCGGATTAGTTTGACACCTGGAAAGATCTGGAATTTAATGTAAGGTTCAGCTCTTTCCAGGTGTGGGTCTACGGGGATTGATTCCCGGGACCGTGTTCCACAATCCTTGGGTTCAATCCCCATTTCCAACCCAGTTCTTCAGGTTCCAAGAGCCCAAATTAGTGGGATGGCACTTCTCCCCTCCAGTATGCATTGAGCCATGACAGTTAAAGTAGTGCCAAACTATTAATTCTACAGTGCAGGTGCACCCCTGGTTACTTTTCTATTAGATTTCACTAACTGCATGCTAAAGCTGCTATGCCTGATAGCATGAACATTGTCATTTTTCCAGGAACTCAAGAGAAATAGTGAAAGATCTGGATATCAAAAGGAAAAACTGTTTCTTTGACACCCATTAATCATTGCAGAACATGGTGGACTGGTTTCAAGATATTTTTAGTGTAAAAAAGGTTCCGAAAGTCAGTGAAAGGCACACAGTATAATCTGCTTTGCAATCTGGAATCATCATGATGCATATCCATACATCTGTAAAAATTCTGTATAGATAAATATCATACATTTTGTTTTTAAAATTACTTTCTCTCAGGCACGCTGTAGGCTACTTTATTAATTATTTCCTATCTTCTTTGCACCTAACACACAGCATCAGTTTAAAAAACAGACTGCCAACAGATGGAAAGCTGCTGGCATTTAAACATTTATCTATAAAAATGGATACGTAGTTTAGTAAAATGCAACATGAATGACCTACAAATTCTTCACAGTGCTAAGACGACAGCCTTGTCTAGGAGTAGATCACACTGAACTCACTGAGATTTATCTCTTGAGTAAATGTATAGGATTATGCTGTAAAAATACTACTCCCCATCAAAAAAATTCAATCTC